AAATCAAAAGTCTACTATACAAAAATGTAAATCTTGATTTTAATGGCCACTTTCCAAACATAACAAAATGTAAATATTATCTATGTGTCTATACTCTTGCTACTTAACCTAGACACTTGATGTCACAGAGATCTTTTAATCTATAAATGTCAAAGAATGTAGATCTTTGAAGATTATATGATTCTTTACAAGCCTTAAAACACAGTTATTTCGTAGTGCATTTCTTTTAGACAATAAATTCAAATTTAAATAAAAATCAAACCTGCTCTATCTCAAAAAGATTTTTACAGTGTAGTGTACTACTTTTGGGACAAATAATATCAAAATTATAGAAAAGTCTACAAGCTCTAACTCAAAATATGGACAATTCTATGTAAAGGGGGTCTATAATTCAGTTTGACAGCTTCAGACATACTAATTTTTGACCTTTTTAAAATGAACCAAACCACTACTTTAAATAAAAATTCATCACCCAAATTTTTTAAACATGTAATTTCATCCACTTACTTAATATTTCATGCATAAAATATAAAGAAATAAATTTGGAAAGTGTATGAAAAAAGTTTGCAAGTTATACACTGTCCATACTAGGGACTATATTTGTAGACAACGAAATGAAAGGACGATAACTGTGTCCTCGGACCCCAGAATTTTTAATTTTAATTTTTTTCTCCTGTGTGAACACTGTCCTCTATTCAGTTCAAAGGAAACATTTATAAACCCATTCAAAAAAGGCATAGGTGGGTTTGGGGTAACCCTCCCCTTGAGGAGCTACATATATGATTAATGAGTAGACTTTTTACAAGTCCCACTCCTAATGCTGCCTTAATGGTTTCCTTGTTTGATGCCCCCCCCTTTTTTTTAAATCCTGGATCTGCATCCAAAAAGGGTTAATGCATGTTCAAAGGTGAATATTATTCATCATAGATTATATATCACACTCAAAAGCTCATGTAATATAAAAATCTACTTCCAATAACATTCACCATTGGTGACCAATATTCGTGCAATAACACTATATTATAGCAATAATTAATTGCCCTATAACAATAACTATGTACAGCTTTCTCTTTTCTGAGTCATTCTTTTTAGAACCCCACCTATTGATAAAATTATAACTATCATAAGTCATAAGAAGAGGTGTACACCTACATGCATCAAAACTACCATAATTTATTTTTTATATAGATCAAACAATGTACCACAATGTGACGTGATTTCAAAATTTATCCATAATATTTTGACAATTTAATTCTTTCCATCTACATTTCTACATGTATCTCACAGTTTTCAATCTCCTAACAAAACTTGGTACTCTTTGTTGCTGACTCAAAGCCCCTTTTCATCTCCAGGTAAAAACTTTAAGCTAATTCTACCTAAGCTCAAAGCCCCTTTTCATCTCTAGGTTAAAACTTTAAACTTATTCTACCTAAGCTCAAAGCCCCACTTCATCTCTTGGTAAAACTTTAAACTTATGCTACCTTAGCTCTAAGCCCCTTTTCATCTTTTATTAAAACATAAACTGATTCTACATAAGCTCAAAGCCCCATTTCATCTCCTCATAAAAACTTTACAAATCACCCATTCAAGAAATAACATCTTTGTCCCATCAGATTCAGATGTGTTACATACAAAATGTATGTGATGTTTACACTAATTTGACAGGGTGTTAATGAAAAAGAGCTGTAGAATTTGTATGTACTTTTATATGTATGCCACATCAGAGAAACCAATCTTGCAAACAGTGTTATTAAAGGCCTGTTGTCACTATCAAAGTTACAGCATCTGGCAGAAGTTTTCTTGGTCACAGTTTTTGACAGATTTTTTTATAGTGACAACTGTCAAAGAAAACTTTGATAAATAAATGGGGCATGTGTCCATGGGACACACATGATGCCCCCGCTTGCATATCATATAAAGTTATAAAGGGACATAACTGAAGAACAGTGAAAGTGAAGCTACCCATATTTGTACTTAATCTGAGTTTTGTGGTAATAAGTATTGTGTATAAGTTTCATAACATTTGGTTGAGGCAAACTTAAGTTAGAGAACAGAAATGAAAAATTCAGCAATTTTTCCATTTGTAAACGGGCATTACTCTAGAACAGTAAAAGTGACACCACCAAAATTCAAACTTGATCTGTATTTTGTGGTAATAAGCATTGTGTATAAGTTTCATAACATTTGGTTGAGGAAAACTAAAGTTAGAGAATGGAAATGAAAAATTCAGCAATTTTTCCATTTGTTAAGGGGCATAACTCTAGAACGGTTAAAGTGCCACCACCAAAATTCAAACTTGATCTGTGTTTTGTGGTAATAAGCATTGTTTATAAGTTTCATAACATTTGTTTGAGGCAAACTAAAGTAAGAGAATGGAAACCAACTTTGGGACGTACGGACGGAGTGACAAGGGTAAAACTTAATGCCCCCTCCGATACGGCGGGGGCATAAAAACTTTGTGAAGAATTTGGATTGAATAGAATCTCATCCTTTTTTTTTCTTGAAACTTGGATGGACTTGGACCGGAATTATCGAAACACAGTGCTGTTTTTTCTTTGACAAATGTTTTTGATGAAAAACTTTCATAGTGACAACCAATGACTTGGACCAAGTTTACCTAGTCAAAACCAACTTTGGGACATACAGACGGAGTGACAAGGGTAAAACTTAATGCCCCCTCCGATACGGCGGGGGCATAAAAACTTTGTGAAGAATTTGGATTGAATAGAATCTCATCCTTTTTTTTTCTTGAAACTTGGATGGACTTGGACTGGAATTATCGAAACACAGTGCTGTTTTTTCTTTGACAAATGTTTTTGATGAAAAACTTTCATAGTGACAACCAATGACTTGGACCAAGTTTACCTAGTCAAAAAAACTTTGACCATTTGTTAACGTTGATAGCGACAATCGGCATTGGGATCAATTTTATAAAAATTTTGCAAAATGATAGCTTTAGCCATTTTTAATTTAAAAATTGGAAATCCTATTGTCATGAAATAGATGTTCCTTCATAGTATTAGTTCAAAATGGAAGAAATATTCTGTTATGTTTTTTTCAACAGAAACAAATATTACAGAATTTGTTCTTTACGAAATAAAGGTTATATATAACAGATGCTCCAACAGGTACAGATATTATGGCAATGTCTATAACAAAGTTTTCAAGGGAAAAATATGTTGACATCCTTACATCTACGTCATGTAACCTCTGGTGAATAAGTTACAAGTCTCATTGGCAATCATACCCCATCCCTTTATTTCATATCGGGATCAGATTTAACCAAATTTGCACAAGGCTATAGCTATTTTTAATTTAAACTTAAAACGCCTTGACTTCTTCATTAAATACATCTATGTACAATTGAAAACTGTAATTGTATGCAAAAATTGACAACTATTTTTACATTTGCCAACAGCAAACAAACAAAAACTTAAAAAAAAACACCTCCGATTTTTGTTTACGGCTATAAATAAATCAACGACAAACAAGATGAATAAAAATCTGTGAACATTTTGACCCTGAACATGTAAACCTCACATATCATTTAACATCTTTTCCTAGGGTCATGTAAATATGTCAGACTCTGTCCCTCAGCTCAGTCATGTAAAAACGTCAGACTCTGTCCCTCAGCTCAGTCGTGTAAATAGGATAAGTTGTCTTTATTTGAAACTGAGATAGGCCACATTCAGTTATCTGATGAAAATATTTGTAGCCAAAAGTTGATATATTCTTTATATTTTGTAGTTCTTCCAGTGTAAACTAGACCAAATTTAGTCATATTGTTTTTCATCCATGACCAATGATCTTACTAAGAGCATTGAAGCAGACCATAGACCAAAAAGAGAAACTGTAAGGTCACAAAAAATTCATAAATTCATCTGTTGTTCTATTGGTAATTTTTCTGTCAAAAAATATTTTTTTAAATTTTTACTGTTCTTGAATCTTTTTTTTAAATTCAGGTTTTTTTTTATTGTTTTGTTTGGTTTTTTTAGGGGGGTTCTTTTTTTCGAGACAATACCAGATTTAAAATTGCGAGTTAAATCATATAAAGGAACAGATAAATTAAATTATGACAATCTTTATTGAGATATTTTATAAGTGGGGGAGTCTTATCAAACAATAACATATTAATTTGGTTTGACTAACAAATGTCTTCCAGACATATAATGCTCATGTAATATGTATGTAACATGGATTATAGATATATCATTGCTACTTATTATTAAAAGTAAAAACAGCAAATGTTTTTAAATAACTTTTACCAGGTGTGCCAGAGACCTAACGTACAGGAAGCCAAATAAGGACATAGGTTCAGAAGTTTGCAGTGTATATAAACTCTTTTACCCTACTAATCAATCGACACTTTTCAAAAAATTCTAAATGTAATTTTCCCAGTATAGGAATGCCACACCTGACCTTTTGTAATGATTCCATTATGTAAATTAAAAAAGGAAACATTTTTTGTCTATTTTGTCCTTAAAATGATGACAGCTACTGAATTATTTCATATTTTTCATGTCCGGGTATTTTATAGCCAACTATACGGTTTGGGTTTTTCTCATTATTGAAGGCCTTACAGTAGCTTCTATTTATTTTCTGCCCATCTGCAATGCCAAAACCATATCCTTGTACCTTTTTTATTGTAATTGTATTTGTTAACCTACAATACAGGAAAAAATAGGTTACGACAACAGTATTTGACCCAAAAAGATCAAATTGAACATGTTGAAAATATGTGGATTTATTTATTTTTGTGAATACTATTTATTCGTAGATTGAAGAAAATTTGTATTTCATGGTTTTGCCAAAGTCTGCATACTAAGTCATGCCTATAGAAAATTTGTACTTCATTGAGCATTTAAATTTATGATTTGCCTGTGTCAAGGAAATCCACGAAAAAATGGTATCTCACGAATAAAAATGAATCCACAGTTATGTCAAGCATAAATAATTTAAGATTTTCAAACGGACTAAACATCAAAGAAATTTGTTTTTACCTCTATAACTGACTTTTTCGTCAGTGTCACCACTGCCCTCTGGTGTTGATCCTGACTCATCGTTTAAAAAATCTTCATCATCTGTTACGGAACGTTTTTCTACTTTATGTAATGTTAATTCTTCATCTAAAAATTCAAAATCTTTTTCCTGAAAAACATAAAATTATGAGTTACTACTACTAAAATAACATTTGGATGAGTATACCTGAACCAAATCCCCCACAGCTAAAAAATAGCATCATTATATAACTCTCAAAAAGCTATTTTACATTTTGTACATGTAAGTGTTAAAAAGCCATAAGTCTGAGGATTTTGATTGCAGACAACACATGTACGTCTTTGGCAAACATCCTAATCTTTAAAATTTGAATAAAACAAGTAAAACTGTGAGCTACTGCTCACTGATGATACCCCTGCCGAAATATTTCGGTAAACAGGAAGTTGTTGAGTGATGAATCTGAAAACGCATCACACGGTGTAACTTACTTATATAAACCCTGAAACCAAATTTCAGAAATCCTTGTCAAGTAGTTCCTGAGAAAAATGTGACAAAAATTTTCAACTTGGCTATCATGTGTAAAATAATACAAGTGTGCGGTAAATAGGAAGTTGTTGAATGATGAATCTGAAAACGCATCACACGGTGTAACTTACTTATATTTACCCTGAAACCAAATTTCAGAAATCCTTGTCAAGTAGTTCCTGAGAAAAATGCAACGAAAATATTACATGTTAAACAAAATTTACATTTTCTATAAACATGATAAACTTGTTAGTAGACTTAAGTAAAATCAAATATCCAAAATATAATTTTTTTCCTCAATCCACGAAAATTGGTATATACGAACATAAATGAATTCATAGTATTGGAGAAAAAACATTTTTTCCTCAATCCACGAAAATTGGTATATACGAACATAAATGAATACTTAGTATTGGAGGAATTGAATTCGAAGAAAGACTCGAATAAAAAGGAGTACAGAATTTTAGTGTTATCTTAAAACTCTTTAAAGTTTGAGGCATATAAATGTTGAAAATATGCCACACAATCCACCAATGTTTTGACCTTTGCAAAAATAATATTGCATTATGATCTTTCCATTGCAGGATATAATTTTTTATGAACCTTCATAGTAAAAGTGCATGTGGCACAATTTTAGCCATAAAGGAGTTCCTGTGGGAAAATGCATTGTCTATGTTTACAGATGTGCAACCTTAAAGAGAGCAATCAGATAAATTATCATACTTCCAGCATTGATTGCAGTTCTAGATCCAGAGGAACATAAACTAGAGGCTCTATGTGCATATTCAATAAAGGACACTCTCCAACATTGTAGACATGAATAGAATTCATGACAAAAATCTCTGTCTTGTTGATCTTGTATTGCTGATCATTTAGTCTTTTTAGTTCCTCTCTATCTTCTTTAGTTTTTGCTCGAAACACAAAAGAGGGTAAAAAAAATCCTCATTTAAGGGAAATCACTCCTATAAAGAGTGACAGTCTACTAACTACGACTATCTGCAAAATTTGACTTGTCAGTAGATCTTGCCTTGCTAATCATTTTCGTGATTTAAAGTGTCTATTTATATAATTATCTATTATGATATTTATCATTTAAGCCAGACGCAAAAAAAATGGCAAAAATCGTTATTAAGGGCAACAACTCCAATAATGGGCCAGGTGAGCTAAAAACAGGTACATGTACTTATAAGGTACTTTTGATTTTTTTTCAACACTTTTCTGATTTTCATGGTGAATTGTTTCATACAGGATAAGTTAAGATCTGGTGTTCCTATAATGGTTTACTTTTATAAATTTTGACTTGGATGGAGAGTTGTCTCATTGGCACTCATACCACATCTTCTTATATCTATTGTATGAATGTTGTCAAATGAGGTGTCAACATATATTTGTTCTGCCTAACATAAGTTCCCCTGGAAACTTTTTTATAAACAATCCCATTATAATATTAATGTTCCTGTTGGAACAAATGTTCTATACCATTTATTCCCTCACACAAAGGAACAAATTCTGTTATATTTGTTAAGGTGGAAAAATATCACAGCATATTTTTTCCATCTGAAACTTATATTATAAAGAAACTTCTATTTCATGAATGTGTACGTACATGTATCCCACATCTCCGTTAACTCTATACATAACAAAATTTCCCAGTAGGATGTTAAAGTGACACCTCCGATTACTGACCTTATAAGTGACCTTTTCGCAATCAAATTTCATTGACATCTATGAAATTAAAATCTGAATGGAATTTAAAACTTCTGCTTTTGTCAGTAAACTTAATACTTACATGTCAATGACATAAAATATACTCGGTTTCAATGTTGTTAATATATATCTACATGGTTGACCTTGAGACGAAATCAAATACTACAAGCATGTTGCATGTTGTACATTTACATGATTAAACCTAATATATATATTTAACATGTACATCAAATGTAGCATTATCTATAAATTACTCAGTATAATAAATTAAAATGCAATTGTAGTAGGATTTTTTAACCCCTTAAAATAATCACATTTGCACTTAATACATGCAGGTCCATAAAAAAAACTATACTTGTAATTTATTGACACACAAACTTTTGTAGGCAAAAAATAGCAGAAATTGAAAATATTGAGGAACTAAAAATTTAACATATATATTCAGTAACATTGTATTGAGAGCTATTAGGAAGTAATTTCAAAATATTCCAATGTTCAAAAAAATGGTGAATCCCTAAAAAAATTTAAAAAGAATAATTGTTTTAAATAATCATAGGTATATATATATTTTAAGAACATCAGTTGTTCGACCTGTTAGTCAAATGCATTTTGTTAAAATATGTTTTTCACTTTTTGATCTTTTGGAAAATATTGTTTGTGCTGTATTTAGACCCCTCTACCAAGAAATTAGTTTTACATGCACACGTATAAAAATTGCGGTTTTTATCCAACGCAATCATAGGTTTGAACGTTGTTTTCAATTTAGACTTGTATATTTATATATATATGTATTAGATCAAACATTTTTTAAAAGATGCCCCAATAATCTTCAGCCTCTAAAAACTAACAAATCATAGGTCTACATATAACATGTATAACATACATAATCTTTGTGATTTTCAACCATAAATTCTAAAATATAATTTTGGCAATAAACCCATCATCATCAGATTAAGTCTAGACAGTCACCTGTGGATTACAAATCTTTTTCACTTTTATCTTCCTCATAAATCATTCTGTTATTAAATCTTGATTAATCTTAATCCTATACACAGGTGACAATTATCTGCACCTCAAATCTTTTCAGGGGTACAGAAAAGTATGGATTATCAGGTTTTCACGAAAGATAATAATAGATTTTGTATGATCTTGAATACAGAGGGAATTCCTTCCTTTAAACACATCAAAGGGAAATACCCCTTACATCAGATGCCTTGGTTTTAAAAATATCAAAGGGCAATAGTCCAGAACATTGTCACAAAACTTTCGAGTATGATTATCATACTTAAGACTCAGAAATCAAACAATCAAAATACTAAATGTGGTGTTTTGAGCAAAGTTTAATTACCGAGGGCCCTGAGATGATGCCTCGGCTTTAAACACATCAAAGGGCAAAACTCTTTATATAAGATTCCTCTGCTTTTAAAAAACCAAAGGACAATAGCCCTAAGCTGAAATACCTCATCTTCAAACACATCAAAAGGTAACAGCCCTGAGATGAGAAGCCTTGGCTTTTAACACATCAAATGGCAATAGCCATGAAATGAAAGATGAGATGCCTCATCTTTAAGAACATCAAACAGCAATGGCCCTGAGATGAGAAGCCTTGGCTTTAAACACATCAAAGGGCAATAGCCCTGAAATGAGATATGAGATGCCTCATCTTTAAACACATCAAACGGCAAAAGCCCTGAAATGAGATGAGATGCCTCATCTTAAAACACATCAAAATGTAACAGCCCTAAGATGAGATGCCTTGTCTATTAACACTTCAAACGGCAATAGTCCTGAAATGATAGATGAGATGCCTCATCTTTAAAAACATCAAACGGAAATGGCCCTTTGATGAGAAGCCTTGGCTTTAAACACATCAAACGTCAATAGCCCTGAAATGAGATGCCTCATCTTTAAACACATCAAAGGGTAATGGCCGGAGATGAGATGCCTTGACTTTAAACACATCAAAGGGCAATATTTTGTCCTGAAATGAGAGATGAGATGCCTTGGCTTTAAACACATCAAACGTCAATAGCCCTGAAATGAGAAATGAGATGCCTCATCTTTGAACACATCAAAGGGTAATGGCCGGAGATGAGATGCCTTGACTTTTAACACATCAAACGGCAATAGCCCCGAGACAAGATGCCTTTGCTGAGAAAAAGTGTAGCACAGAAACTTTCTGGAATTTGAAAGACCATATATAATCTGTTTATCGCTATTTTCCAAAGCAACATCAATGATGTTAGGCTAATGAATCTGTTTATCGCTATTTTCCTAGGCAACATCAATGATGTTAGGCTAATGAATCTGTTTATCGCTATTTTCCTAGGCAACATCAATGATGTTAGGCTAATTAATCTGTTTATCGCTATTTTCCGAGGCAACATCAATGATGTTAGGCTAATTAATCTGTTTATCGCTATTTTCCTAGGCAACATCAATGATGTTAGATTAATTAATCTGTTTATCACTATTTTCCTAGGCAACATCAATGATGTTAGGCTAATTAATCTGTTTATCGCTATTTTCCTAGGCAACATCAATGATGTTAGGCTAATTAATCTGTTTATCGCTATTTTCCAAGGCAACATCAATGATGTTAGGCTAATTAATCTGTTTATCGCTATTTTCCTAGGCAACATCAATGATGTTAAGCTAATTAATCTGTTTATCGCTATTTTCCTAGGCAACATCAATGATGTTAGGCTAATGATGTCATTGCATTCTCACTCTACTTCCAGGAGAAGACTTAAGTTCAGTCCAGGAAAATGATCACACAGAAATATCAAAGGAAAATTTAAGAAAATAGCAATAAGACTCAATATGAAGCTTTTTTTAGCAGTGGAAACTGAGTGAGCAAGCTCAAAATGCTGTCATAAGATTTTTGAAATATATCTACATTTTAAATAGAAAATTTA